GCCGCCGCCGACGTGGGCGGGATCAGTGGCCGGGGGTGTGGGTGGGCGCAAAAGGACAAGGCAAGAGGAGTGGGCAAAGTGGGCAAGGGCGGGCGCGGGCGCGCAAGCCCCCCAACCTGGGAAGTCGTGTGTGTCGTGTGAGTGCGTTTGCGTGGTGGTAAGTGGGTGGGTGGACGGCTGGCCGCAGCACGCGCCGCGCCTTTTTTATTCTTTTTGCTGTCAGGGCGCATCGCATCAACGGCAGGGCTCCAACTTCAGAGTGGGAAGGGATCTGCCCTTTGTCATCGATCAGGGCAGAGGTAGCTTGATAATAGTTATATATACATGGTTTCGCTCTTGCTGCTGTTTTTGCCGTTTTAGTTGCTTGGGGCCTGAACAGCGTATACCGGTACCATGTTCTTCTCCTTCCTCCTCCTCTTTTTTTTTAAGAGTCTGCCGTTTTAGGGGGCTAGAGCGAATAGGGAAATTGGGGGCGGTGTGCGCAGGGCGACGAAGTTTGGGTCGTCGAGTTTTGATCAAAGAGGGCTGAATGGGTAATCGGGGCGTGTTTGACGTGGCGCCGCTCGTGCAGAGGAGAACGGCGCCTGCTGAGTGTGATTCAGCTTTGGCATAGCAGTTGGTGCTGAGCTGTCCAAGAGCTACTAAACTTGGGGCATGGTACCATAACGTCTGGCCCAAAGGACAGCGACTGCATTGAAACGTGAGATTGATACGGAAGGAGACAATTGTGTGACGGCTTTCATTTCGCAAACGGCGGCCGTTCATGCATGCGGGTTCAAGGTCCGATGGACTTGGACCGTAACAACCACCACGACCGACATTACGAATGGGAATGTAAGGCGATATGATACATGGCCCCCCGGGTCTCAATCTCCCAAACGGTCTGGCCCTTGGCGAGGGCAGCGCGCGTAGCCCAGAGCACATGACGCAGGCTTGCCGCCAGTCAGCTGCCAGAGGGAGAAAAAAAGTAACATTTCCTGACCAGAGTCTTGACGTAGACACATGTAACTGTGCACGCTGTAACTTTGGCGGACGAGGCAGGTGATGAGCATAGTATGTGCGGTCTGGCAATCTGGGGACCGGGCTCGATTCAACTGACCATCCTAATTAGATGAGATAAGCGTGGGAGTGGGTGTGGATGGCGCAGTGCGGGGAGAGTGCAAAGTGCTTTCTGGTCCAGAGTGCCTGTTGGTCCCATTCGTCCAAGAATGGCTCCGATGCAAGCACCACTGCGGGCTTTTAATACATTTCGGGACATCGGCTAGTGCAATACGAGGTGAGGGAGAGAGAAAAAGCACAAATGGTGATATCTTCTTGTATTGGCCATCTGACAAGGTACGTAGCGGTGGATGCTGCTGACATTGCCATGTGGCATGCCAAGATCAAGGCTGGCTTTTGCACAGAGATTTGTTCCGATCTCCAAATGAAAAAAAAGTAGACGTTACGCACACGAGGGGCAAGCTGATGAAGAGAAGAAGAAAAAAAAGCATCCGCATTGACATTGGAGTCGTCAGCTTGGCTGGCGGTTGGGCGGTCTTGTGACAAAAGGCTGTCGCACTTCATCTATGTGCCATGCGGCTGGTTTGCAAGGGCAATATGGCCAAAAGAAGCGACCAGGGGCATCTGGATATTGCAGGTACATAGACCAAAGTACGGATGCACTTGTGTCGGACGAGGCTCTCACAAGGCAAAAGGCAGGCAGATTAAAGGCAGCTTGTCCAGCGGAGCGAGCAACAAAAGTGGCTGGGGGATCGGAGGGCGATTGTGCTATGGGCAGTCGAGGGCCGTGTTTGCAGACGGCAGTGCAGTGGTCTGGTCTGGCGTGGTCAGGTCAGCAGCGATGGAGGGGCAGCCGGCCGTCTTTGGAGTACAGGTTGGAGTACAGAGGCGGGCGTGACAAGTCGAGGTACATGGTGGTTCCCTTAGCGGTCGGTTATTGTTGCCGGTGGCCGAGGTGGATTGATTCGGAGGGCCATGGGCCGGGGTGGTGGCAGTAGTGCATGCCCATTGCGCATGACGCTGCAGCCATCACGCCGTGTGCGAATCATGGAATCTTCTCTGCGTGCGGGCGCACGTTGGGCGTAGTGAGAGTGTACAGTGTAGGGTGCAAAGGTGTGGCTGAATGCTAGCAGGTGGGGGGTCGTACACCTACTCGTACATGCACACACACTCACCCATGGCTTGACTCGTGCCGCCGCCCGGGTTTGGTCGAGGAAACACGGCGAGTGTCAGCAAACACAAGGCCCGCCCCGCGCCAGAGGGCGGCGTGGCATGTGAGGTTGTTGGAGTCGTCGTTAGTCGTCGTCGTCGTCGTCGGGGAATGGATGGGCTGGCGGCCATGGGGCTCGCGGTGCCGGCATGAGTACCGGTCGCGGTGGCATGGCTGGGTGGGCTCTGTCTGCCATTGCTGTGTGGTGTGTGGTGTGTGGGCTGTGGGCTGTGGGCTGTTCCGCAGAGGGTGCGGGGCTCCCGGCAGCACCAAAATAGGCCGGGCTAATCCTGACCACCCACCATCAACCCATCACCACCGATGCCTACCCGCCATGCCGGATGACAGCGCGGGTGACGCGATGCTCCCTCCCATCCGCCCTCTTCCCAAGCCGCACCGCTACCCTTTTGTTTTTTTCCTGCTTGTCAGGCGACGCAAGCCTCGTTGGCAGCGAGGCCTCCAATCTCAGTGTCGTGTCTCCCCCAAGCCTGGCTGCGCGCCCGTCTGAGGCATCGCTACGCCGTGGTCTCAAACATGGGCCCAGCCATGGATGCGAAACAGGTACGCCCGCAAGCGACCCTGCCCTGCCTCGCGCGACAGGGCCCGGCTCCCAAATTCCGCCGTCGTTTTTTAAACGCAGAGCCATTTGTTGCCCGCAATACTGCCACGAGTGACGGCGGACCTGCCCAGACTTTGCCAGACTCAGCACACTGTGCAGCTTTGGTCAGCAAGCGTTGGACCATGGCGCCGGACAAGTGGATCGAGTCGACTGGAGCCCGTCTCCGCCCTCGACGCCGCCGGCCTACACACTACTAATACTCCACCTGCCTACCTCTCTTCCCCCGTGCCCGCCAGCCCGGCTGCGAAGAGAGGGCAAAATAAACACCAGGCGCGCCTGTCTTGTCTTGCCCTGCCCTGCGCCTTGCCATGCTGTTGCTGCTGGTGCTGCGTGCTGGTGCTGCAAAAAAAACATAGGTACTTGTGTGAGTACAAAGCGGGCCGGGGCTGAATTCGGTACCCTGGACAGGCGTAATCGTTCTATGCGCCCTTGTTCGGGACCACCGCCGTCGAGGCATGCGGCGTCCGCTGGCTGGCTGGTTGGCTGGCGTCCTGGCTGCCGGCCCTCTCGCCGGCACACCACCATCACACCTCACGCTGCTTCCCGCCCAGCTTACCTTTCTTCACATCGCCCGTGTCGGACGACTCTGGAACTTTGTCGTTGTTCTTGTCTGGTTGTTCCTAGCCCTTGGTCCTGTGTGCGTGACGACCAATCGTTTCATCATCGTACCTTGACCCCCGTGCACGCTCGTTCGCTGGAATCCGCCGCGCTATGACGGCCTAAGCTGTCTGACCT